TTTTTTTTTTGAGAATCATGTGATCTTGCTTGAATAATTAATTTAGGTGAAAATAACGCGTTTTATGGAATGAATTGTGTTTGTTATTGAGGTCAATATTTCTTAATAATAAATTCTTAATCTATTATTATTATATAAACATTACTGATCTAAGTATTATTATGAGATTTGACTTTATTAATTGTTTTGTACGAGCTTTATTAGATTTTAAATAGAACAAGTTGCGTGATGGTTCATCTAATCTGGTCGTGAAATATTATTTTGACTTTGTGAGAGGCAGCCTAATCAGTAATTACTGTTAACTTTATGTAAATAAAATGGAATCATTTATTTAATATTATATTTGTATTTATGGTATATTTTAAAATATGGTAATTTTAATAAAAGCATGTGTTATTTATATAGAAAAAATATCCTTACGGATTATTTTAAGACGTAGAAAACACGGTTTCCTTTTATTTCTTATTATTATAATCTTATATTCTTTGTTATCTTTCGGACGGGCACTTTTCATCTATACTTATACTTATATACAGAGTCATCCTATTTATTAAAAGTAGTAGCAAAAAATAAGTCAGCATTTAATGCAGCCCATTAATAATAGCTATATTATTTTTCTTATTTTTTTTATTTAAAAATCCTACAATTTAAAATATAAATACGCTTTAATATAATCATACAATTTAATTTATAAAAATCATTAATTTTTTTTAAATACGCTTTAATATATATATATATAATACTTTTTGTAATAAATTTGAATAAACTTCGTGAACTAAATATCTAAACAATATAAAAATTCAAATGTTTAAGTTAATTGATAAACAATTTATAAATCTCTATTTTATTTAAAATAATTTTAAATATAACCAAATTTATTTAGAAAATCATATTGATCCTACCAATTTAACCGACTGGTGTTGACAGATTCAATAGAAAATATTTTATTCAAGTGAACTAGACTAATTATAAACCGGTTATCGGTCCATTCGGTCGGACTGTGGTTTAATTTAAAAATGATGGGTAAATTTTGATTAATTTATTTGTATATTTAATTTATAAAACAATTATAATATTATTTTCTCGTGCATCGCATGAGCCACACACTAGTTATTATTGTAACGCCAATAAATCAATGCTTTTGTCTTTTCTTTACCTTTTTTTTTTATTTGTTCGTTTCATATTGTTTGATAATGCGATATCCAAAGTGAAAAACAGATGGAAACCACGTTTTCACACCCCGAATATATTATTAGAGCACTGTTTGAATAATTAGGCACCTCCTTTTTTCAACTTTTAAAATGAATAAAAAACAAAATCAATCATATTATTGGGTGGTTACCTATCATATTAACTGATTAATAATATTATGATGGTGATTAAACAATAGAATGAATAATATGTGAAAATATCTATATTTAACTGTTCCTCCATTCCAGGTACATCGCGTGAATAAATAAATTTAATTGAATAAAATTTAAAATAATAATTGGATGACTTTGAAAGCATATTTATATTTATTGTGTTACCTAACTTGAACAAGTCTGTCTGTGGTGGCAAAGTCGTGTCGTGGTGGTCCATAACTTGTTAACTTTGTCAATAAACAATTACGAAGTGGGGTAATGATATTGGCCCTTCATGTTCTCCACAAAAATAAAATAAAATAAAATAAAATAAATATCTCACCAATTTATTTTATTCTTGTCATTATTTTGTTTGTATCAGTGTGGATAAAAATGTTGCAATAAGTTGTTAGTCCATTTTTCATAATTTCATTTAAGTTGACATTCGAAATTGAATTGAAGACGAGGTTTAGAATTATCTCAATTTCTTCTATTGAGATTTGAACTAGTAGAAAGTAGCCAAAGTGGACTTTTATTCATTTTTCATTCCCTAACTCATTGTGATTCACGACAAGAATTATAAGTTTTACCAACAAATTAGTCGATTGGCGCGATAGTGTTTTCTCCATTTGTGATTAATTAATTACTGATAACATGATTTTGCTAACGTAACGGTCAACATTTTACTAAACCAGAACCGTTGCGTGAACATGATCGCTCACCTCTTCAACGCGCCCCTCGGCGAGAGCGAGGCCGCTGTCGGGGTCGGGACTGTGGGCTCTTCGGAGGCCATAATGTTGGCGGGCCTCGCCTTCAAGAGGAAGTGGCAAAACAAGATGAAGGCCCTAGGGAAGCCCCACGACAAGCCCAACATCGTCACTGGAGCCAACGTCCAGGTCTGCTGGGAGAAATTCGCCCGCTACTTTGAAGTCGAGCTCAAGGAGGTGAAGCTCAGGGAGGGGTACTACGTGATGGACCCGGAGAAGGCGGTCGAGATGGTTGACGAGAACACCATTTGTGTCGCCGCAATTCTCGGGTCCACACTCAATGGCGAGTTTGAGGATGTCAAGCGCCTCAACGATCTCTTGGTCGAGAAGAACAAGGAAACAGGGTACGAACACATATTTTAACCTAATTACAGTACTAAAGTTACTACGATTGAACTGTCTGATAATATAATTATATATTTTGATTTAAAAAATGTGAAAAGTATAATTGTTCGACCTGCCTATATAGTTGTTAGATTTTTTTGATTTGGATTCAATTATTGAGCATATGTGATGTGACATATAAATATGTAGGTGGGACACACCAATTCATGTGGATGCAGCTAGTGGTGGATTTATTGCTCCATTTTTGTACCCCGAATTAGAGTGGGACTTTAGATTGCCATTGGTAAAGAGTATCAATGTGAGTGGGCACAAGTATGGGCTTGTCTATGCCGGTATTGGGTGGGTCATTTGGAGGAGCAAAGATGATTTGCCCGAAGAATTGATCTTCCACATTAACTATCTTGGGGCGGATCAGCCCACATTCACACTCAATTTCTCCAAAGGTACTATCCCTTTGCACAATGTACAACCCGTTGACTATTACTATTGTGTACAAGTTCTAGCAAGAAGTTGATAATTGTTAAATGATATCTTTTTGCAGGCTCTAGTCAAGTCATTGCTCAATATTATCAACTCATCCGATTAGGCCACGAGGTAATTGATTTAAAAAAAATAAAAAATTACACACGAACATCAATTTTTTTGATTGTATCATTTGTCAGATTAAATCGACTGAGCTAGCGTGTCGAATAATATGTAGGGTTATCGAAACATTATGGAGAATTGCCAAGAAAACGCGATGGTCCTCAAGGCGGGTCTCGAGAAGTCGGGGAGGTTCAACATCGTGTCAAAGGAC